GACCTGGCTGGGAGCTCTCAGAGCCGTGGCACTGGTGCCCACATGGATGAGGAACATGGGGTAGTGGTCAGTAGGCTGGAGGAGTTTAGGGATCTTCTCTGCAATGTCTCGGATACAGGCTCCCGGGAAGCAGCAAACTTCCTGAGCTGAGGGGTTGGGGTGGCAGATTGCCCCCTCTGTCCCCCTCAGGGCAGAGTCTTCCATGACAAACACTTTGCATTTTGTCTTGGGGATTGTGGGGGCGGTAACTACAGTTGAGCCTGTGTTGCCTGCGGGAGCTGGCAACTTAGCAGGCTGCTGGGGTTTGCACCTGTTGCAAAGCTCCAGCGGGGCAGGGGCCTTGGTGCGACGGGCCTTGGGGCCCTTGACCACCTTGGTCCAACCCCATAGCTGGACAGAATGGGAGGTCTCCCTTTGCATTTTGTCTTGGGGATTGTGGGGGCGGTAACTACAGTTGAGCCTGTGTTGCCTGCGGGAGCTGGCAACTTAGCAGGCTGCTGGGGTTTGCACCTGTTGCAAAGCTCCAGCGGGGCAGGGGCCTTGGTGCGACGGGCCTTGGGGCCCTTGACCACCTTGGTCCAACCCCATAGCTGGACAGAATGGGAGGTCTCCGGGTCCTCCCTTGTCCTGGAGGGAGACTGTAGTCTACCCTCTGTCTCCTTGGGGAGAAGGGCCTGGCAGTAGGAGGCTGTCTCCTGCTTGCAGTCCCTGATGGCACGCAGTCTCTTCTGGACTGTGGCCTGGAGCTCCTCCAGCTGGCGCGCCAGAGACCCCAAAAGGGAGCAGACCCCACAAGGCGAGGTCACCATGCTCCCAGGCGCCAGAGCCTGAAAAAGGGACGGGCAGCCCCCGCAGCCAAGAGCCAGGGGCTCCATCTGCGTGGAGCCTGGAACCATCTGGGTGGAGGTCTCTCAGGTGCCAGAGGGGGGGGGGCCGCAGACCCTGAGGGGACCCTCGGGGTGCAGTGTGTGTCCATCTGTGTCATGCCGCTGGTGGGCTGGCTATGGCTGGGACTGGCTTCCCTGGGGGGCCCACAGGCAGGGCTGCGGGCCCTCTTGCTCCCCCTCCTGCATGAACTCCGCGCTAACTCATGCGCTGGGCAGACAAGAGTGCCTGTTTGTGCAGCCTGTTCGCACGGCTCTGGTTGCGTGGCTCCCTGGGGGGCTGGGCAAAGTAGGGGCCAGGTTGGGGCGAGACCCTCCCCAGTTCCTACTCAGCTGCCTCCTGCAGCTGAGCTGGGCTAGTCCCCTCCCACCACGGGCCCTGCTTACCTCTGGCTGCTGCTGGGGGTCAGCGGTGGTCTCCGCAGCAGTTGGGGGTCGCTGGGGGGCTTTGGGGTGTGGGGGTGTAACGGGCTTTCACCTGTGCATCTCGTGCCACTCCCTAAGCCTCAGAAGTGACTTGCTGAAGGAGTGACTTGTTTCTTTGCCTCCCACAGGTGCTAGAAGCAGGCAGGAGCATGAGGAGCTGTGTCCCCAGGAGCAGTTGGTGGAGCCCCACAGGATGTTGTTAGGAGGACCAGAAGTGGATAAACCCCAGGACCCAGACCTGGACCTCTCCTGGAGAAGCAAGGCTGAGGTTGGGGGTGCTCAGGGCAATACTGTGGAGGAGAGGCTGGGCTGGAGCCCTGCCCACGAGCTGTCCTGGGCGAAGGACAGTGAGCAGGGGGACTCCCCTGACCAAGCCCTGTCCTATGCTGGAGGCTCCACACCCTGCCCCCGCCCTTGCCAGGGGAAGCCCTACAAGTGTACAGAATGTGGGAAGGGCTTCAGCCAGAGCTCCCATCTGATGCGTCACTTGGGCACACACACAGGTGAGAAGCCATACAAGTGCGCAGCCTGTGCTAAGAGCTTTACCCAGAACTCCAATTTGCTGCAGCACCAGCGCATGCATACAGGTGAGAAGCCCTACCACTGCCTACAGTGTGGCAAGCGCTTCAGCTGGAGCTCCAACCTCATTCAACACCAGCGCCTGCACACTGGCCAGAAGCCCTTTCAGTGTGCCCAGTGTGGCAAGCGCTTCTGTGAGAGCTCCCGCCTCCTGGAGCACCAGCGTACCCACACTGGGGAGAAGCCCTACCGCTGCCCACAGTGTGCCAAGAGCTTCAGCCGCAGTTCCCACCTCATCCGCCACCAGCGCATTCACACCGGCGAGCGTCCCTACCAGTGTGCCCAGTGTGGCAAGGCCTTCAGTCAGAGCTCTGCCCTCCTCATACACCATGGGACCCATGCAGGCAAGATGATATGAGTGGGCAGCCTCTGTTACAGGGTTGGGGTCAGGGGGGACCTGGGAATCATGCCTGTGCCTCACTAAGTGCTGGGGAGCCCCTCCAGGGAGGGGCAGTGATGGTGAAAATGTGCCTGATTGGAGGGAGGGGCTTTGAGTGCAGCTCAGACCTGAATACATGTTGGGGAAAGCCACATGGATGCATGAGCAAATGCTTTTCAGAGAAGGTTGCCTGGCTTCTGTTATCCATCAGATAATTTCCATGTGGTGGTGACCATGGTTGTGTGTTTGAGTCGCTCTTATTCCAGTATAGCCTTTACTGTGTTTTGGAGAGTCCACCTGGTCATGTGGTTATCAGCTTTCCACAGGAATTCAATACACATCAGATAATCCATGCATAGAAGTAATTGGAGACATGGGGATAAGCTCATTCTGTGCAAGTGAAGCACTTATTATACATGAGTGAATTCAAGTGGGATGGTGACTTCAGCCACATGTAATAAATGCACATTAGAGAATCTATATATAACACTAACTGGATACCTTGAAGAATGACTTTCATGCGAGTTTGGTGCTTACTGCCTTTGAATAATCAATGCATAATAGTGACCACAGACAGATAGCAAGTAGTTCTGTGTGCATTCAATGCTGCTTATGTTTTGGAGGATCCACAGTCATATTGTGACTTAGCTCAATATTTATTATACATCAAAGAATCCATATGTGACTTTGGCCCTGGGGATGAATGGCTTCTATTTGAGCCAACACTTAATACTTGTCAGAGAATCCATGCAGGATGGTGACCAATGCGTGCTTTGTCAACTCAGTGCTTATTACTTGCTGGAGAATCTACACTTATCAGTGAGCATGAACAGATGGCAAATGGCTTCCAGAGAATTGAGAGAATCCACAGTTGGGAGGAGAAGAGACTAAGTTTATCCACGTGGAATAAACTTTATTGTGATTTCTCAGTTTACTGCAGGTCCTCAATGAAGAAAAAGCCCTGCCAGCAGAACAGGGCTTAATCTGCGTATGAATTGCACCTGTTAATACCTTAGATACCTACACAGTGAAAACCATGGGAGAAAAGCCTGTGTTTTGTGTGTTTGCATACACTGGGAGGAGGTGTTATAAATGGCAGGGACTGCTGGGGAGAGCTGGGGGATGGGGAGTGAAATCGCTAAGCCAGAGGAAGGGGTGTAGGTTGTAGCTGTGTTGGTCTAAGATATAGGCGGACAAAGTTCTTTGGATAAATCTGATATTTTTTTATTAGGCTAACTCAAATAGTTGGAAAAAATCTTCTTTGTAAGCTTCTGGGTACAAATACCCTTTGTCAGGCTGAGGAAATGTCTGCAGTTGGTCTGTGCTCTTCCTGGATGGAATAGTAAACCAGAGAAAAGCACTTACTCAGGAAATGAGTTCTTCACCCAGCTGGAGGCACATGAGGATTTACTCTGAACTTCTGCACCCAAGTCTGGCATTGCAGTTTGGGGCAGAAGTGGTGCTGGAGGCTGTGGGAGAAATGCTACCTTTGCAGAATGGGCCAACATGCGACCAAGGCTCAACTGGAGCCTTAGTGTAAGGGTGTAGGTAGGTCTAATGTTGTGGATGTATTTTGTCTTGGGCTTGCTTTTCTTCTCCTTGGTGTATTTTGCATATTGCTGCCAGTACTGCCAACCACCTCTTGCTGAAGGGACTGTTTTGTGGGATCAAAGGCTTGCATGCATGTTACCACCTACAGCAGAAGAAAGGTCCAGCAGAAGACAGATGTTTTTCTCCTTTCTCTCCTTACCCCACTCCCCCCACAGCCATTGAGTTTCATGAACTGGACAAGAAATGAAGGAACTCAGTGGATCCATTGGGAGGCTAAAGAACAAGGAGACATTCTACACCTAAGGTACTGACTGATGGTGGCTGCACAATGGAGTATAGATGGAAACCATGGCCAAATAGGTGTGGGCCTGAATGCATGTAGGGCTTGCTAAAAACACAATGGTGAAGTTAGGCTCTGAAGGAGACCCCATCTTTCATGAGTAACAGCAATGGATCACTCCCTGAGTCCTTGTCTACATAGGTTTGGCATATCTGTGCAATCTTTTCCATGTCAGCTAGTGACATGGAAAGATTGCACCCTGTTGCTGACAGCTATACTGGCAGAACCTTCCCAGGGTGAACTTTGCTCTGCCAGCAGAAATGAGGTGTCTTACAAGCTTCTGTCAGCAGAGCTGCATCTTCTGCAGGAGGCTTGAAGCTGTAGTAAAAGCAGCTGCAGCTTTGACACAGCTGTAGAATTGGGAGTGAGCGGTTTGTTGCTGCCTTCCATGGAGCTAATAGTCTTTCCTGGTGCCCCTATTATTCTCAGCCCTCTCTAAAATTGATGAGGTTGCAGCAAGTGACTGGCAGCTGTAATTCTTTGCCCAAAATTTGGAGTTACTTCTCATTCAGTTTCATTTCTTCCTGTTTCAATATTTATTTAATAAGGGCTATTAGGGGTGCACCAATAAAGATTTTCTTGACTGATACTGTTAGTTGATTACTAACCAACCATATTGGCCAATGCTGATCCGATAATCGATTTACTTTAAAATTCAAGGCATTTTAAAATACTAACATAAACCTGTCCTGCATCACATGTATTAGCATCCCTGCACTTAAAAATGGTGGGGGGGGTGGTGCTTACACTAAAGCTTGTTGAATTAGCTTCAGTTCAAGTGCTGCCACCACCATTTATAAGTGCGGAGATGCCTTTAAGTGGAGGAGAGCTGAGCTGAGCGAGGTGAGGGCAGATGCGGGCTGCCCACTGTGAGCTCAGGGCTCTCTGCTCTGCTTCCTTTGCCCTGGGAGCCCCTCGCTGGTGGGGGGCACAACTCGCTGGGGTAGCGGTGGAGGCAGACTGTTGCTGGGAGTGCAGGGGGCACATGGCTCACAAGGGAAAGGCAGCAGAGTGAAGAGTCCTGAGCCCACAGCAAGCATCCTGCATCTAACCCACACATAAACCTGGGGGGGGGGGGGGCACATGCCTTCCCTGGGGGGTGCATGCAGTGGGGTGGGACCCACTTTCCTTCCCTATGCCCCCTGGACAAGCCATTCATGGCTCTGTCCAACTCCCTGCCCAGGTCCCGTGTCCCATGCACTGCCTTGGGTGGGCAGCACCCCCAGCTCCTGTCCCTGCCCCATTCCCTCCCTCACCATGGGGGCCTCAATCTGCCCCTTCCCTGCCATAGACTTATCTGCAGGGAGCTGATCTCCACACTGCCCGACTGTATTTCTGGCCACATGCATGTGTGCAGTTGCGCACATGCATGTAGCGTCCCCCACATCTCGCTCCTGGCAGCCCCAAGCAGGACCCCTTGCAGGCTAGAATGCTGCCTGCCTGCAAGAAGAAACCCACTGTTTCCCGAAGGAACCCAGGCTCCTGGGGGGTGCCTGACCCTGTGGGGGAGAGGGAACCCAGGTATCCAGAGCCCTGGCCAGAAGGCATAATTATCAGTCAACATTATTGGTTACAATGGTCAAAAAAAGCTGATAGCTGATAATATAATTTCCCCTTTTATTGGTGCTGATCTGATAGGCAGCTGATATATCAGTGTACCTCTTAAGAGCTGTACCTGAGCACATGGTTCTTTAAGGGGAATGATGTACTGGCCAGGTACAATACAGGGTTTACAGTGCAGAATATAAATATCCCTAGCTAATATTTCTGTTTTTGGGGTGGGGATGGAAGTGGACTGGATGGTGGTGGGGTGGGAGGAAGGTGAAAGACTGAGTGATCATGCCTGAACTCAAATAATAGTAATTAAATTGTGATTTTAAAATCCAACTGCAGGGAGGTGGTATAAAATGGTACTTCCTTTGCCTAGAAAGATGAAACTGGTTGTTAGTCCAGAGTGGGCCTCTGCTCCCCAGTACTTTTCTCTCCTATGGCCCCTGGTTTATTTCCCAAGATATTGCTAACAAGTCTTTAGGCTGGATAAAAAGGACATGCGGTACAGTGCTTCTATGGAAAAATTGCTTGGGAATCAACTTTAGGACCTTCCATTTTCTCTCTAGACTTTGCAGTTCAAAGGCTTCCTTCTAGTTTAAATTCCAGCTCATTTACTCAATTCAAATATATACCTATGGTTGTTGTGAGCATCACTCCTATCTTTCTTTTCTCTGAAGCCCTGAGTCACAAAGTTGTCTTTTCTTTTAAAAAAGGAAAACTCTTTAACGAGTTGGCTAATATGAATCATGGTAGCTAATAAAATTATGAAGAACTTGTATGAATGAATTGAAAAATAAAAGAATGTGTTCTTAACCTGAGTGTGCCAAGGCTAGTTTGCTGTGATTTAACCTTGGGTTGTTAGTTCTTTTGAGTGAGCTTGAGTTAAAAACCATTCTCCCCACCCCATGTCAGTTTGTCTCTTTGGAGGGATCTCTGGATGTGACTTGAGAATAATGATAGATGTTTTACAATGAACTGTATATTGTGCATTCATCTGCTTCCCAACAAAGCATTCTTTCTTGCTTGGGCTCTGTTTAAATGGGATGCTTATATTGATCTCTGTAAGGTGGCTACTGGGAATTGCCTATATGTTATTGGAGTCACGCAGTCTTCCTTATGGATATATTTAATGTAACTCTGACTTGATGACTGTGTATAAGTATCTTCACAAGGAGAAATACCAGCCTCCTAAAGAGTTTTTAAATCCAGTAATGAAAGGCAGAACAAAGATTCGTGGCTAGAAGGTTGAATCCAGACAAATCTGAATTGGAAATTAGACTTTTTTTGTTCAGTGGCTAACCACTGGAACAAATGCCAAAGGACAGCACTGGTAGATTCTCTCTAAATTGTGACATAGGTGCTTTTCTGGCAGATGATTAGCCAAACACACAGCTTGAGCTGAAATTTCTGTTTTATTTCCATCTGTTAGGTCACCAGTAACAACTGGGGTTAAAAGAAGCCTTAGCACTCATTCTTGGTTGATGTTTTAGTACAAGGTAGCCATGGCTGAGTACAAGGTAGCCAATCTGCAACATGGGTGCCACAAGTGGCATGGGCAGCCTCTGTTTGGCCCATGTCAGATTGGGGTGGGTACAGGCAGCACAGTGGCAGATAGGGCAGGGAGTTGAAAGCAGAGCATCAGATCAGGCAGGGAACATAGGGCAGGAACCAGAAAATAGAGCAGCAGCTTGATAAGGGAAGAGAAAGCTGAGCAGACACTGAGCAAGGGAAAGGGATCTTAGTGCCACTTGGGGAAGAGTGTGGGGCTAATTTGCGGCATGCCTGCCAAAAACAGGTTGATCCTTGCTGGTTTATTATTTACCAAGCATTTGGTTGTATCGAAGTACCTCGGATTCCAAGACAGTCTCCCATCCCTGTAGAATCCACAACTAGGGCTGCTTAGCTTCCCCACTTTAAACAAGATGAAGTGCATTCAGTACAGCATGACTACTCTCATTTGAGAGGTAATGTGGCAAAATATTTTGGGCTCTACAAGTAGTCAGGCTGGATGACCTAAAAAGACCCTTTGTAGTCTTAATACCTGAGATGTCTCAGATGATGCCTTTTCATCTTCAGTTATAAATCCAGAAACTCCAAGGCACGATAAAAACAATTTGGCCCAGCATTCCTATAGTGCTGTCACCTCTAGCTTGGGTTTCCTACGTTTTGCCATCACCGTGATGAGGATGATGCTGTGCACTTAATGGAGTGTGCTGTGTCTTGTAAAAACAAATCTACTCGAGAAGCTCTTCTTTTCATTGTTGGCCTGAGGCAAGCCCTGTAGTGCCACTACCCTGAGGCTGGGTTACCAGTTCAACATTTACCTTCCTGTGATTCTACCAGTGAGTCCAGAGGACCTCTGTTAAAGACCTCTTGCTGCCTGGACTGTGCAGCAGGAGTATAGTATCTTAGAACCATTGGATTCAGATGGCAAAGGAAAGCTTCTCTGTCAGCCCACATAGCCAGTGTTGCTTGTGCCCCTGGATCTGGGATGTCATGTTTCCCTCTACCTTTGCCCTGCCAACAGCATCCCTGAACCCCTGAGTTTCCACTTCAGGTCTTTGGTTCAGGTTGCAGTTGGAGGCTGTATGCAATAGCTGCCTGTTAATTGTTTTTCTTTTGCATCTCCCTGGGAACTCTACTTATACATACAGTTTGTTGTTTTTTTAATGAAAACAAAAGGTAAAAATCCTTTTAGGAGGAGTTAGGACTGAAAGAGGCCTCCTGGGCCGCAAAGTTCAGGACTTTCCTCTCTTGGGCACTGTGGTTATGAGTC